TCACTACACTGGGCGGTTACCAGTGCAGCAAACTTCTCTTGTCCTTGCAGATTGTCTTGCAGCAATGGCCACTGTCATTGTTCTTCAGGCCGAAGCTATGGGCCTCACTGCACTTCTCTCGACATGCACAAAAGACAAAAATATTGGCGGTGTATCTCTCCGAACTCTAGCGGAAGATTCACTCTGGTTTCGCACATTTCAAGAGTAGTGCAGCGAGGCCGTATGTCCATTATACCCTGCCAAGAACGCGCAATCTATCACTGCCCCAGCTACCACTCAACTGATGCCACTACAACCTATTCATTCCCCGTGTCTAGACTTTGGGATCCTTTGCGGAAACTATTCTCACGTTCTTCCCTTTCAGAACCATTCCCCTTCCGTTTGGCAGCAGCACCGGCAGTGGATTCTTTTACTGTTTTCCTGCTGAATGCAGGAGATTTTAAATGACTTCAAATAAGCATGCGGGATGACTTGATCGACATTGACTCTGCTGCGAGGAATGAGCCTCCCAAGGCCCTTGCCCGACAGTGTCGGGGTCCCCTAGCCAGCCTCGTGCCCGCCATAAGTGAAGGCCGGCCTGCATTCCAACTTGAGGCCTATTTTTGTCATTTCTGCATGTGGGGGCGCCAGACAGTTACATCGCGCCAGTTGGTTACAGGGCCCACACCAGTGGGATCACGGCATTGTGAGCCTCTGGGCTCCTCCAGGCAGCAACGTGGCCAGAGGCCTTTCGGCCAGTAGAATGCAGCGAGTGACACTGGCCGCGTCGCACATTTGGGCTGCTTAACTGCTGCGGGCCCAGGCCACTTTCTGAATTGGGCCTGGGCACAGACACTTTGGCCCGAATCCAGGCTGCTGGGCGCGTGGCCTCCAGGTGCAGGAAGTCCAGACTGCTCATGAGCAAGACAGCACTTTCCATCTAGGAAAGTGCCTCGCCCAGCAGAGGGGATTCTGCCCTGCCTCATTCCTGTGTCAGCGCTGCTGCACTGAGTGCTGGGCGCTAGAGGCTGGGGGCGCACATGGGCGCACAGTGGTGAGGGGCACTGCGGTGGCAGTGGGCGCACAGCAGCCATGGCCAGGCTGGCCAAGCGGATGCTGGTGTGAGCGATGGTGGTCCTCGGGCAGGTGGAAGACACTGTCGGAGGAAAAGGTGATGGGGAGAGAGAGATGAGAGACACGTACCTGGTGTATGCGGCAGTCTGCATGGGCGACTTCGTCACGTACACTGGTCTTCGACTGCAAGTGATTCCTGGTTGCATGTCGTAGTGTAGGCTAGAGTAGTTTCTCAGTAGAAGTAGGCTGGGCGCTGAGCGCCAATCAAGAAGGGCAACATTGGATACATCGTTGATGGTGGCGAGAAGAGGCTGACATTGACATTTGGGTTCATTGTATGGGTCTTATGTGGCTTGTATCTCAGCACATTGTGCCTTCTACTCGGGACATGACTATCTGGTCTTCAACGTGATATTGCAATTTGCTTTTCTGTCTATCGCTCTTGCTCATTTTCCTTGCACTGCCATGGAGTTCAAGAAAAGTACATCTATGTCTGTGAAGGAAAAGGAAGTACAACTATATCTGTGAAGGAAGTACATCTATATCTGTGAAGGTGCGGCAGTAATGTAAGAGAGTCATCAGGATTGGTGTCTCCAACAGCGTAGGCTTTCAGAAACGTATGTGCTTGCTGCATCTAGCAGCATTAACTTCCACTCAGGAGAAATCCTGACAAACCCGAAGCACTTCACTCAGAGTAGGGCATCAACCTTCAAATGAGGCGGTCATCAATACTTCGTTAGCCTGTTGAATCACGTTGGTCTCTTCTTTCTGCATTCTCTGTAGTGACTTTGGAGATATTGATCTGTCCTTGCGGTACATAGCACGCTCTTGCGGTTCAGGCCTCAAGTTTTGCTTCTTTGCAAAAAGAGAAAAAAAAAGAAAAAAAAAGAAAAAATTTAACAGAGAGAAAAAAAAAAGAGCGAAAGAAAAAAGAACTCTTGGTCTGGACTCCGGAGATAAACATCAATACCACCCTTAAAAGACGGGCCATGGCCTATCTTTGAACCGGCAACCCGTCGAGGACCAACTTCATCCCCAACATTGTATGGGCACACCTCATACAACCAAAGGGAAGAGGAGGGTTAGGAATACTGGATCCAGTTACTCAAACGAAGGCGCTCCAGACCAAGTGGATTGTGAAACTGCTCACTGCTCACCCACCATGGCCTCCCTTGGACCGCCCTCGCGCTGCATCGCATTGCCATCTGCCCAGGGCCTCCACTCCGACCAATATGCGGGGACAGTTTTGGCTGATGTCCAAATCATGGTCTCCCCGGCGTGCCACACAGCAGCAGGAGCAGCAACAACAGCTGCTGCAAGGATCCCGCACAGACTACTGGATGTACCTCGTCAAAATCTGGAGAGAGATCTTCCCGGCAAAGGTCTGCAGACAGACGAACAGGGAGGACGTACTTCGACAGCCACTCTTCTGTAATCAATGTCTCAAGGACGATAAAGACAAACCATGAACTCTCAGAACAAAAGATGCCCGCTGGATCAGAAGGCTGGAAAAAGGAGTCTGGCGGATCGACCACATATGGAACCAGTAGCAGAACCGTTGGAAGACGTATTGCGAACTTAGAGACACGCTCAGGGGCTGCCATAACTTGCAAAACAACCTCAATGCTCTCTTGCAATTGGTCCCCCGTGAGTGGACGGTGATGCTGCAGGCCCCGCCGGCGTGGACATCCGGAGAATGGGGCCACCTGGAGCTGGGAAGATTCCCCCGGCCGTGGCACTATCATACGTCAAGGCAACGGCGCCAGCAGGAGAATGGGCTTTCTGGACTATTCACAACATCCAACTGCCAGGTCACAAAGTGAGAGAGGTAGCAAAGACAGTAACAGCCAGGACAGCCAAACCGGCCCTTCTCCGGAAAGTGTGGGTGGTCGAAGACGACAACTACAGAATCTTCAGCCCGCCGACAAGACTACAAGAGCTGGAAGTTGACCCAGCAGAGTGGGCCTGGAAGACAACAGCCACACGGACGGGGACAGAGCAGCGAACCAATATCCTCGACTACTCCACACAAATGGGCTACAGGCTCAGGCGGAGAGCGGCCAACACAGACGACACGCTGTCCAGGAGACGGGAGAAGCATGTAGCCGGGGGACTTGGAATCCAAACATGAATCTCATGCCAAGTGCCCCTCGCCATCAAGAACACTCGCATCAGAAGTATGCAACCGCTCATGTACTATCACGCACTGCCAGTCAACAAGTGGTTAAGCAGGCGACGCGCAGCAGCAGCCAGGCCACAGTTGACATGTGCATAGGAAGCCCCATCACACGACTAACAGGTCTGAATGAGCCCGCTCTCCTGGAGAAATGGCAGAGGACCTTCTTGGGAAGGCTCCGCTCTCTCACACTGTGGTTGATATGGAAGAGAAGATGCACAGAGACCCCCGATAACCAGGCGATTTCGGCAGCAGAAGCCTGGGGGAACCACGTCCATCTCCTGCAGACGGAGTATGAAGGGGACTGGTGCAGGACCGCAAAGCTCATACAAAAGGACCCCACCAAAACGCAGGAAACCGTCGACAAATTCCTCAGAGAGCGACTCTGGAATGGAAAATTGGGAACTCTAGAAGGCATTCCACCCAGACTGGTCTGGAAGATCACAGGAACTCAGTTGGGGGCAGAAGCCTCGGGATCGACATACCTGCTGGCACCGGAACGCTCACAGCACACAAGTGCAGACCTGGCCATGGAGTGAAATGCGACCACCAGGACCAACGGTCGACAGCAACATCTCCTAGTCAGCTGCACCGCGGGACGGGATTTAGGTTTGAGAACAGAATAGACCAGGCAGCCACGCAGCAGGGGAATGTGCAGGGTTAGATTACAGCACCATAGGGTTTAGGGTTTCCTAGGCTGCCACACTGCAGGACAGGTTTCAGGTTTGACAGCACAATAGTCCAGGCAACTTATAGGATTTAGATTCTAGAATGCAATACCATAGGGTTTGGGGTTTAAGAGGCCCCATCATACCAAGATTACCAGGCAGCAATGGTAGCTGAGAGGGGTCCAGAGGCCAGAAATGGGGAGTGTAGAGGAAAGGATCCGGTGCCCAGGCGGGCAAAGGCCTGTAAGCGAAACTGGGTAACATTCGCAGGATAACTCCGGGTCGAATTGTGAGGTCCCCAGCCTCAAATTTGTTTCAATAAACCTTCCCCACCCCCACCACCCCCCACCACACAAAAAAATAAAATAAAAAAATATAACAGTTCACACTCCAATACCTGGCACACCTGTCTCTGATGCCTCATACTTAACATACTGAGAAGAAAAACAGAACATTTTCTCATCTTGTGTGTCTTCTCTTTAACCTTCCAATTTCGACGAACCACCACCGCATGCACGTATGAGTTTGAACTTTGAAAGTACACTTGATTGTCATTATCAGAAACCAGGGCAAGAGCCCAGAGTATGGAAGACCGGATCTTAGGATCTAACCGCTCTGGCACATCACGCGGTCAACGCCCTGATGCTTCTGACAACAACATGTTCTTCTTTGTTGTCTTTTTATTACAAGCATCAGGGACTGTGTGCATACAAATAATGGACGTTTTGATCACCGCTTCAAAACTTGGCAGCCCGCGATTGAGTGTCACACACTGCCTAACTGCGGTTCAGCAGGATGCTCAGAAGAAACAGGGTGCAATGCAGAGTGGTTTGTGTGAGATGTGACGGAAGTATTAACAAACCTTACAGAGGCTTGCAGCTGCTGGTTCCTGCAACTCTCCTGCAAACACTTCAGCTCCTCTTCCTTTGACAATACCTCCATCATTGCTCTCTGAACCTCATTTTCCATTCTCTCCAAATCTGAGAGCCTCTCTGCCAATTCTTGCTGACTGCGCTCTGCCTCCATCAGTGCTTCCCCCAGCTCTTTGCGTTGGGCCTCATGGGCTTCCACCAGCTGCTCATGTTTTCTGCCTTCTTCCTCCATCCTCGCCTCAATATTCGACTTTTCAACTTCAAATTTGAGACGGGCTTCTCTCAGATCATCATCTCTCCTCCTCTCCATTTCTAAAAGCCTCTCCTCTAGGCCCCGGCAAATGCTTTGTTCCTCCGCAAGTGCTTGCTCAAGCTCCTTCCGTACGGCGTTGTGTGCCTCAACCATCTGTTGCGACTCTCGTTCTTTCTCTGCCAGCTGGGCTTTCACACTTGACCTTTCTTCAACTTCAAATTTGAGACGGGCTTCTCTCATATCCTC